TTCTAATGTAATTGATAACATTTCTACTGGAACAACTCATGACATGAAAGAACATGTTACTAAACGGAAGTATGTATGTAACACGTGTAGAAAACCTGGCCATAATGCACGAAAGTGCAACAAATAGATTCACAAATAAGACTGTAATATGAATAGTGATATATCAAAATAAAGTTTTTAGCTAGGTGTTATATTTGGAGCATTTCAACTGTGATTATATATTGTAATATTGGTGTACAAAGCTTAAGCTATTCCTAATAAAGTAGTTTGGGAAACATTTGTGCTTTACTAAACGCCTGTATATCTTCCACAAACTAACCCTAAAATCATGAGGGTGATTTTTATGTAGGTAAGTATTAATGAACTTCATGTTGAATATGTGCAGTCAATTCACTATGTTGTGCTTGGAATTCTTTGTTATATTACTTGCCATTGCCATTCATATACGTACATACAGTCGCCTCCGAAAGTTTGAAGACTTTTTTTATAAAAATTTTCAATTGGTACTTGTAAAATCTTTCTTATGTAAACATCAAAGGTTTCCTATATCGTGAGCATAATTAGCATAGATTTTATGTTTTCGTGTAACTATGTTAAACTTTCGGAGGCGACTGTGCATGTTATATCAATATTGTAATAGTTACGAAATAGTCATATGGTATGTGCAAACGCACGTACAATAAACATGAATGGATGATTTTCTAATACTCGTTGATACTGATAATTATAGGTAGTTATGCAGATAGTTATACAGTAGTTGCATATGGGGACGCTTAAAGCCAGGTTCGTTAGAGTTGGTTTTTTTGATGCAGTTAAAGTTAGTGGGTGATATAGTTATGCAATATGTTGATTAATGTATAAATAGCAAACCTCTGTATATAGTTATACGGGTATTTATACGGATTGTTATACAAGTATTGTAATTACAGTACGTATACTATTAATAATAATTTATTGTATATAGTATACAATTATATACAGTAATATATATATAGTATTTATATTAATATTTATATGTATAAATATTTTTAAATTAAATTATATCATGTGATATCGGTGATTATCACCACCGGTTATAGTTAGAAAAATTCATTATTTTTAATCAAAATTTTATAATATATAGAACAAACCATCCTTTTTATGATAGCAAAATTTTAATATATAAAATATTTAAAAAAATAATATTTTTATATGTTATAAAGTTTGCCTCAGTGGGCTCAAATTTGCCTCAGTTACACAAAACGATTAATTTTGATTGGTTGATATCATATGATCATCATGTAACCAACTTTGATACCTAAAATTTAAATATTCATATCTCACCGAATATTAAACCAATTTAATAATTTTTACTATCATTAGAATTAGAAAAACCTGCTCTATAATTTTTACTTAATGGCCTAAAATAATTGGCTTAATAAAATTTTGTAAAATTTTAAAAAGAAAAAATAAATACAATTAGTTTTATATATAATTTACAATTTGTACCCCCTACCCTTAAATTTTAATTAATATAAACTTGTTTTTTTTACTTATCATTCTAATTGTTGGCTACATAATATCAAGCAAATACTCAGGTTAAAATGCGACTTTCAATTTTAATAAAGGTAATTTTTCATGCTTATTGTTCTAATTGTGATTGGAAAATATATTAAGATAAAAAGCCAATTTAAATTATCTTAGGATTTACGTAATAATAATATTTTGGATCCCAGGCAGTGATAACGGAAATACATGACTGATACTGATCGGCCGCGTAAGCGGCCGATCAGTATCAGGACCCAAGATATTAGTAATAATAATCCTTGACATAGTGATCGGGGGATTATAGCTTTTACAACCTTGTTTATTGATTTTGCCAATTTTTAGTTTCGTCACATTTTGCCAGTTTCATCACATTTCGCAGCTTCACCATATCATTTTTTAAAATCGAAATTAGGGTTTCGACTTCACCGGTACGAAACCTCTAGGTTTTGCTTAACAACTATAACTGATACGTCAAATATTCAGACAAACAAATTAGGATGGTTGATTTTAGCTGTCCAAAAACTATTCTCGAAAAAAAAAACCTCAATAAAGCAAATTATTTTGTTAACGTTAAATATAAGCCTATGTTATGTAATATAAAAAATATTCAATGAACGTACAGTATGTACGCAGAGACTTCGGATTTTTGTAGCATGCTATTTTTTTAGCAAAATAGCTTGCAACAATGTCTTGCGCTAAGATGCGAAATTGCTACTTTTACTCTAAGCATGTGATTTTACCTTTGTTCTTACGTGAACGAGTAATTGTCCGTTTTTAAGTGATCATGTCGATCACGTGAGAATTCTGTCCCGTGATGCTGATTGGTCGATCATAGAATAATTAATAAATTTTGCATTTCCTAGTTATATGCATATTTTAGATGATGACCAAAGAACTCACTGAAAGATGAAGAACTCGCAGAAGAAAAATATGATTACATAATTTATACTTATAAATATAAATTTATAATAAGCTATTTTGCTAAATTTGCAACTATTTTTGCTAGCTATTTTTGCTATCAACGTCCGGGTCTCTGTACGTATGTACGTACGTGCTGTACATACAATTCCGTAAAATCTTGATTTTTGTTAGAACTGTACGTATAGTACGACAGTACAATTCCGGCAGTATGCACAATACATTCATGTTTTACTGATCAAATAGGGTTATATGTATCAGGATTTTTTATGGGTTGTTTAATAATTTCGAAAATTAACTTTTTAATTTAGTGATACCCTTTTTAATACAACCAAAGATACACTTTTTGAGCGAAAATTTCAATTTTTTTATGCCATATTCGATAGCTTTTATTATGCTCTTTTCTACAATAACCTCGGTTTTTACAAATTTTAATAGCTTTTTTCGTGAATTTAATTAAAGAATTTACTACTTGTAAAACGGAATAAATCGAAAAAATCTCTCTATTACATTAAATTACACGAAGTTCTTTATCTTAAAAAAAGTTAAATTAGTAATTATTATACTAGTTCGAAAGAAAACTGTACCGAAGTTGTTATTATCCGCAGTAATTTCGGATTTTCATATCATATGCGGCCCTAAATAATTGATTTTATTAGTTTGATGAACACCCTAAAGATACGTTTTTATTATAACTTTTTGCAGAATTTTTGTAATTAAACTATTTGCAACTATACTATTTTTACACATATATTATTGGGTTAGAGCGGAATTGTAATTTTGCTTTTTAAAGTATTATTTATGTTGTACATTGGATTGGAATTATTGTGGATTTAGAATCCACCTAGGTTGATTCCAAATAAATATAAGTTGCGTTAGAATTCTAAAATGTGCCCAGGTTGTTAAAGAATTTCAATTTAACTTACAATAAAATTAAGTGTATTCCAAATTATTTCATCGAGTATATTGTTTTGGAATTTAAGTCGTTTTAAGATAGAATCTATTCATAATGCGGCTCATTGCTAATTAGCAGGATAGCAACTACTCTCATAGAGTATTTCATTGTTTTATATTTTTGTCATAATATTATCTATGTACTTGTGAAGAGGACTGCATAATAAACGTGTCTTGAAGCTTTTGAGCCATAGTCATAACGAACTTAAGATTCTGGGGGAAAAAATTGTTATAGAAAATTACTAAGTTTTCCAAAATTTCAGAATTTGAGTTTGTTATATCCAGAGTCGACTATACTATTTAATTTTGGAAACTTATCAGAACCCAATGTGAGAAATTTATTAGAATTATACTAATTCTAATAATGCCGAATTTTATTCGTTATATGTGTCATTCTCCAAAACTTTGAGGATCTTGCAGGGGAGTGGCTTTTGATCGTTGTCTTGTATCTGCTGGATCGTGTAGAACCTTAATACAAAAATCAAAGTCTTCATCGACTATTTGTTGCTAAGGTATTTGTAAAAAAAATTCTTCGAATGCATTATGAATGAAAAATGGATAATCGAAATTCATCAATCAGATAGAATTTTGCAAAGAATAAAAGTGAAATAAAAACAAGTACAGTATAAAAAATTTAGATTTTATCTTGACAATTTATCACAACGATAAATGTAATTTATTTAACTATCGTTACGTCAATCTCTTATCGATTACAGTATCAAATTTATGTTGCTTTTAAATTTCATATCAACTTGGGCTATATTTGGAATTCTATTCCAACCTCTAAATCTACAATAATTCCGTTCTGACGTACAACATTTATACGTCACCGTAGAATTTGCTAATTTAATGGTAATTGCAGCAGTCAGTACCCTGGATACTCTAATATATACTGTGTTAAGCAAGAATATCGCAATTAATGTGTTAGAGAAGTTATATTATATGTATATGTATGTACAAGCACATGATAGGGATGGATCAGTCCTGAAAAGACCGAATAAGGACCGGTCTTTTTAACCAGTCTTATCGTTATGGTTAACTGGTCCTCGGTCCTGAGACCAGTCTGGACCGGTCCTCATGAATAATTCAAATAACTAATTAAAAAATATGTTACAAAAAAGGTTATCATTATCATTATGTATAACGATAATCTTAAAAGTTCTCCACCAAAATAATCCAAATTAGGTAACAATGACAAATCATTTTAATATAACTTGAAAACCAAAAAAAATTAGCCTTGAGAGAAACTATCACTATGACACAAGTCACTAAGATTCAGCAAATTTTGCAACGGCTAGATATAAGCTTTAATGAGAATAGTTTCCATGCTCTATTCTCTCATGTCGTTCGCAACCATGAAAATTTTGATAAAGATGAATGGGAAAAGTTAATCCAATTTGACAAAAATTGGGAAGCTTTCGGTTTTAGAAAAGCTAAAGAAATTTATTCCTCGAATATGAATAAGATGCGTCAAAGTACCAAGAAACAAATAAAACCACATATCCAATACATACGTGATGAAGTGAACAGTTCTAACTCAATAAGTCAATGGAAGTGTCATAATTGCGGTTTTAATCCAAATTATGTATGGCGTATCAAGTGCTTTAAATGTAATGCGCATAGGTCAGACCTTGACCTGGAATCTTTTGATTCTCATAGAGTGGAATTAAGTAGATATGAGAAAATGCGTCTGGAGTGTGAAGTTCGTTCAGCAAAACATGAAAAAGCATTAGAAGAACTCAAAACACTGGGTTATAAATATCTTGATTGGCTAAATGGATGGAGAAAAACTCCTGATGAAGTGGCTAAATGTGGACATAAAAAACGAGAGGATTCATACAGTTTAAGTGGAGCTACTAATCTTGTAAGGTGTGATACATGTAGATATTATTATTACTATGATTGCAGTGTAAGTATTATTGACGTTATTTTCGAAAGTTATATGTTAACAAGACTTTTAAATTTTATCTTTTTTGTGTTACAGTAAAGTTAGGGTAGGAGATAGGAAAGATGTCTTTAATGGTACCGTCAAGGGAACGCCACACTTCGACTTTCTTGATTGGCGGCATATATATGACGTAAATTCGATGTTTGGTTTTCTCTTGGAGTACCCGTATTATATGTCGCCGATCAGTTTTCCAAATAAACTTGAAAGCCCGAAGTGTGATTATCCTCGGCTAGTACCCACCTACTATATTATTTTCAATTGTATTTATATATGTTATTAAGATAACTTTTTCTATTCTCTAAAAATATAGTTATTAATTTCTAATAAAGTTAAAGAAATTATCCAACAAACTCATGATTATGTTTGACTCCTTAGTCGAGTAATATTCGAATCATTTAGCAAACGTCTATTCAAATATTCGCCAAATGATCAATATCATACCACAAATTTGGTATTCGTACAGAAATTAAAAAATTTTAAAACTTTGAACGAAGATATCTCGACAACCACCTGACTAAATTCGATGGATTTTTTTTTATTTTATTTGAATTCTAGAGATCTGTAGAATTCAAATAAAAAAATTTTTATCGAATTTTGTCAGATAATTGTCGAGATATAAGTTTAAAAAAAATTCAAAACGGCTATTGATAAAAAAACAAAATGGTACAAAATCACCTTTCACTTATCATTTTTTTTATCTTATACTCTTAATTTTTACCTTTTACTCTCTTAATAATTCCCCTATTACTTTTCACTTTTGCACTTTTCTTGATAATTTTCATAATAATTTATTACAATTTTTTGATTTCTCAAAAGTGAAAAATCTTTGTCATCAAGGCTTAATTCTTGATTTTTCAATTTTTTTAATTTTTCAGTATTCAATTGTTTAATGGTATCAGATAAACCATTAGGCATTTTGATGTTAAAGACAAAAGTGTACATTGTAAATTGCCACATTTATCATCTGCTTTTAATAATTTCTTGAAATTATAGCAATATACATATAGAACGTATAGACAGTTTTATGTCACTTAACAAAACACACATTTAACAAGCATCAATATACTTTGAAATCCTTGCTAGGTCTGTATAATATTATAGTTTTTAATTTTGAATTGATCACTTCATTGGTTGTTTAACTTCTAATATATAGATATAATCTAACACTATAATATGGTATAGCAGGATAAGAGCTACTAGAGTTTTAAATAATAAAATTTTATACTATTTGATCTTTATTGCAAATAACAAAATTTCAAACAGAAAGTTAAAAAAAATAAATTTAGTATAGACATATTTTCTTTTTTTAAAAAAAATTTATTATAATCTTTATTTAAAATAATAGTTTAAATAAATGATTTTAATTAGGTTTAGATTGCAGATAATTATGTTATTATGTATTATAACATTGTGTCTGAGTTTCTAGTCTTAGTATCCTCTAAATATAAGGTTTAAATATAATTTCTTTTCTATATATATTTCATATAAAGGAACTTAATTAAATTTTAATAAAGTTAAAGGTATGGTCTTATCTTTTAAAATTAAAAAAATAAATGATTTTATTAAAAAACTTAAAATTAAAATTTTATAAATAAAGATAAGGATTTATTAATTTATTAAAATTAAAATTTAAATAATTTATATATAAGGTAAAAGGTATATTTTGATGAAGTTGAAAAAATTAATATAAAATTTTTATTTTATTATAAAAAAATTTTTTAATTTTTAATTAAATTAAATATGTTTTTAAAATTATTTATATATAAAATTGGTAATATAGAAGATTGTTTTGAAGAAGCAATTCTTAGAGTTGTGTACTATACAAAAAAGTTAAATTTTAGAGGAGGTGGGGTTGTCTTGTAATCTAGTAATCCAAATCAGATAATTTTTGTACTATTTGATTCATCTCATCAAGACGAATCAAATGGTGGTTAAATCATTTAATTCTAATCACTGGATCACAAGATATTAGCATCAAAATTTCATTATAATTTCCTCAAAATTATTTTAGTATTGTATATAATCATTATTATCTCATGATCTAGTGATCAAAAATAGATGATCTAACTACTATTCAATTTGTCTCTATGAGATAAATCAAATAGTATAAAAATAATCTGATTTAGATTATTAGATACAAAATAAACCAAATTCATTACAATATCCCCTTTGCTAAAATACTACTATTACAGTACCGTAACCTTCTTAACAGCAGTACTACAGTCTTCCTCCTCTATAATCACCTCCTATATAATCACAACTCCCATATAATCACATTGATTTTTGAGACAATTTATTAAAAAGCTTATAAAAAAAACTTTTATATAATTATACTCTTTTATAATCACCAATTTTCTTGATACAAACAGTGTGATTATAAAGGAGGAAGACTGTATAACAATGATATAGCTACAGAGATCCTTCACAGGTTTATAGTGATGTTCAACAGGTAAGTATAATTTCTGCTTCTTGGAGAAACTATACTCTTCTGTCTGTGGCAGTTCAGGCAGACAATAGTTTATAGATAAAATATATGATTATTAAAAATAAATAAGATAGACTATCCTTAGGTTTTTATTTCTAAAGAATCCTATAATATTACAAGAGAGAATTTAGAGAAGAGGGAAATAGAGTAGATAATAACAAGTTTATTGTTATTTTAGATCTAATATTAACTTAAAGAAATTTATAGCCTTTTTATATCTTTAGAGCTAATCACTAATCATTGCAGCTAAGCTAAGTTTACTTAGTACTAAATGCTAATTGTAATTGCTAATCATTAAGCATTAAGTGTTAATTGCTAATTGCTAATCACTAAGGTAATTGCTAATTACTAAATATAATCACTAATCACTAAGCGTAATCCTAAGCATAATCGCTAAGCGTAATTGCTAATCACTAAATGTAATCGCTAATTGCTAAGTGTAATCGCTAAGTGTAATTGCTAATCATTAATCGCTAAACGTAATCTCTAATTGCTAAGCGTAATTGCTAATCGTTAATTGTTAATCGCTAAGCATTAAGCGTTAAGGCTAATCGTTATACATGTCTTTGAAATTCTTCTCTAAGATAAATATAATAATAACTAATAACTAATAAAATACAAATATCGAAATAATAAAATAATACTAAGATAAAATAATAAACTAATAAAATAAAACTGTTCTATAACTCAAAAAAGCTCAACTCGTTACAACGATCTTCTAATTAACAATAACAAAAAATCGAACTACAGCAAAATATATAGAAAAGCGACGAAGTAGATACTAAAACTTGGTCCTATAAATAGGAGCATCTTGTTGTCGACGAAGTCTAAGCATCTAGACATGAAATACTGAGGAGCAGGCATTAAAAGAATACAAATGGTTTTCTTTGAAGTTAAGTTTTCTTTCTGGCGGACTCCACAAAGTATTCGGCATCCAAACCAGAAGGTTTATTCTGGGAACAAGTCTGTAGAAGTAGCCAATGCACACTTCTAAATAGTAGAAATGAAGAAGCTAGACTATACAACTATAACTCTTACAAGAAGAACCTCACATATTCTCGTTGGCCCACCACTTTTTTTTAAGAAAATTTTTGTAAAAAGTGGGCATTTTAGCTTACCCCCTCAAAATAATCAACATTACATGTATCAAACAAGTCGGTATTATTTATCTCCCAAATTGAAACATAACAACAAATACATGTATATACATGCCTCGAATGCAATGGATATCTGTACAAACAATGCTCTGAGACTCTGTTCTAACCTCTCTACCTTAAGCTGGTCAATGAAGTTTTTCCTATTGGGTTTTTACTTTCGCATACTAGTTTAGAGAAAAATAGAAGTAGAGACTAATTTGTCTAATCAGTATGTAATTTTTTCAAGCTATCTACAGGCTTATAACCGTAGCATTAAGATTAGCAAATTTTCTGTTTTGTTTTTAGTTTTTTTCGATATCCTTGTACCCTTTTTTTTTCATTTATGTATTCTTTTATCATAGTCTCCTATACCTCTGTATTTTTTTTTAGTTTGTTTGTTTTTTCTGATTTTGCTTCTTGATGAGCAGATAGCTGCCAGCTGATGAACAATAGGAAAAAAGTTCTTAGTGAGTTAAGAACCCTGAAGGAGGCCAAGAGCTACTGAGGCAGGTCGCACCTGGTGTATAAAATCATGTGGGTGAATTCTTTGTTTGGTTAGATCTACTTTAGTTAGAGATAAATTACTTGTAATTTTGAATAACTTGATTCCAAATAAACAAGGGCAGGATAGCCAAATTAGAAAATAAAAACTGTTCTATAATTATTACGTAAAGGATTATCAACCAGAAAACTGGAAAACTGAACAGAACCAAAGTGTTTGGCAAGACACTCCATTAACCTGGCCCCAGAGAGTAATTGGAGGAAAAGGACCCAACCACGGAGACCAAGGGCAGGTCACAGCCCTTTTGATCCATCTGGATTAGAAGTTTGGGATAACAGATATACAAGAAATAGTTCATATAGTGGGTGCTAGGGTTTGGGTAAACTTTATAAAGGTGGTAGTAGGTAACAGTAGTGACTTCGGCTCG